ACTGGCCCTGAAGTCAGGAGGACCTGAGTTCAAATACGGCCTCAGATCAAATACTTGACACCTACTAGCTGTGTGACCTTAGGCAAGTCACTTGACCCCAACTGCCTCACCAAAAAAAAAAAAAAAAAGAGTATCTGATGGATAAGAGGCTCAGGTACAAATTTATTGTTTTTGTTGGGTTACATAAAACCTGTCCTAAATTCAATGTCTCATTAACCTGAGTGCTTGCAGGGGAGCTAAATGCCCTGTCTGGAAAAGCAAATGGAAACAGATACTGACTGTGCCAGGATTTCCCTGGGTAGGTTCACGATACAAAGAGACTCAGTGAGAGACTTCCCCAAAACCATACCTAGGTCCATGATGTCAGAGGCCAGAGCTCAATTAACAGAAAATTTAGACCAAAAAAGGGAGGACAATTCTTTGGACTTTAAATAATAAAATTTGATTTGTAATAGTAACATTTCACCATCTTTTTGTCCCTTACCAGGTCATCTACATAGAGAAATGGAGTTTTCCAGAAAAAGCGCTTTATCTTTCATGACCCTGTCTTCTATTTCCTATGTATCACACATACAAACACACACACACACACACACACACACACACACACACACACACACATGCAGGCACATACAAAGAGTGTCTATTACATAGGCTTTCAATAAGCAATTTTTTTAAATGAGAAAACCATTTTTTGAGCAATTGTATAAATTAAAAGATACTTCAATAGCACAAACATATTCTCTTATGAGTTTTTTCTTTCTTTTCTATTTGCTTGCTGTTATAATTTCCAGCTATTTTGAATCGTTTTTGCCTTTCCTTTTGGGCAAAAAGCCTCCAACTGTTTCTTATTTTGTCTATTCTACAAGGGAAGGCCACATAGCATAACAAATAAAGGGCCAGTATCACAATCCATTCAAGTACTACCTCAGACAAACTAGCTGTGTGACCACAAGCATGTCACTTAACAGCTCAGTGCTTCAGGTAACTAATACTACACGAGTTGCTTACTTATCTGCACTGCTGGAAAGAGTTTACTAAGATGGAAGTTCTTAGAGTGATTAAAAATCTAGACAAAACAAACAAAAACCAAGACAATACTTTTTAAATCTTATTTTATCTAAAAGATAAAGCATTTATATTACATAAAATTGAAAAGTTTTTTTTGAATGAACAAAATCAATGCAGCTAGATAAAGAAGAGAAACGAATTGGGGAAATCTCTGAATTAATTACGTCAAATATTCATAACATATAGGACATAAATATGTAAGACCAAAAGCCATTCTTTAGTAGATAACTGATCAAAGTTATGAACAAACAGCTTTTAAAAGAAGACTTGCCAATTATCAATAATTACATAAAAATGCTCCAAATCACTAATACTGCATGAGAAATGCAAATTAAAACAATTCTTAGGTTCTACTTCACATCAGATTGGCAAAGATGATGAAATACAGAAATATGTTGGGGGGGTGGTGAGAAAACGGGCAAACTGATACATTATTGGTGGAATTGTAAGTTAGGTCAATCATTTTAGACTTGGAATGTGAGTCACTAAACTATTCATATTGGGGCAGCTAGATGGCACAGTGGCTAGAGTACCAGCTCTGTTGTCAGGAGGACCTAGTTCAGCCTCAGACACTTACTGGCTGTGTGACCCTGGACAAGTCACTTAACTCCAACTGCCTCCAAAAAATAAAAAATAAACTGTTAATGCCCTTGTGACCTAGAGATCCCACTACCCCAAAGAGGTCAAACACAGAAAGGCCTTGTATATACCAAAATATCCATCATAGTACTTTTTAGGGTAGCAAAGAACTGCAAAGAAGGTGGGTGTCCATTGATTAAGGAATAGCTGAACAAATTGTGGCCTATGAATTTAACAGAATACTATAAGCTGTGCCATAAGAAACAATGAATACAAGGAATTTGTAGAAATGTAAGAAGATCCACAAGAACTGATACAGCGATGTAAAGCAAAATAAGAACAATGTATATACCATGACTACAGTAATGTCAATGAAAAGAACCTAAAGCAAAGCCAAATTCTGAATAATTATGACCAACATTTGTCCCATAGTATAGATTATGAAACACAACTCCCTCCTTTTGATAAGTGGCAGGGTGGGGGGAGGAGGGGGACAACTAAGGATACAGAATGTTGCATATACTCTCATGGGTCACTGATAAGACTTTATCACTGTCAGTTGGTTTAACTTTTTTCTTTTTTTATAGCAAATCATTCCGTGGCACTGATGTGAGGAGATTTACTGGGAAATGACTAATGCAAAAACAAAGGACATTAATAAAACTCTTTTAAAATGACCAGTGGCAGGCAATCTTGCTCCTATAGAAATGATACATGGTCTTCAAGTATAAGAATATAACTTCTGAGCTAATAGTTCTTAAACTGGCCAATGCAATAAAATTTCAGCTATTGCGTAACATTTGATAGGCTGGATCACATACTGTTCCTGTTATATCAAGATGGGAAAACAGAGATGAACAACTTTAACACACTTTCCTTTCTTTGGTCTAACTCAGACTTGCAACACTGTAACAGTTCAATCTCTCAAAGAATTTTCCAATAAAAAATAGTCTTTGAAAGAAAAAAAGTCTTTTTTTAAAGCAATGATTAATACCTATTCACATTTCAATTTATTAGATATCTATCCTAATAGTACCCCAAAGCATACTACTCCAAAATTTTTTTTTCACAAGAGTGATTTAAGATTTCTCACAGGGATTCATAACCAAAAAAAAAAAAAAAACCTGCAATACAATATTCCTATTTATGAAATCTGTCTAACAAACAGAGGTCAGTATCAGTAATAAAATAGTGTTATAATTATGTCTATGAGAAAGGGGGTGTGTGTTAAGGGAAGGAGGAAAGCTGAGAGAATAAGATGCAGTTCCTTAATTATTTTAGTTAAAATCCGTCATTTAAAGACATGAATAATAATAAGGTTATTTTGATGGGATTAACTAAGCATTGGTCCCTGCTATTGTGTATTTCCATCGAATGTCTTTATAACCCTCTCCCTGATCAAGAGTCTTATTAGGGAATTGGAAGACATAAAAATAAAATAAATTGGTCTCCTTTCCTATCACAGAAAAATGTCCTGTGTATGCTTAAAAAACACCATCACCATGCTGGAATTCTTTGTAGCTGCTATTTGGTTTCCTATATTATAGGATATGACAGCTGGAACAGATTACTCTTCAGTGAGATGCCTTACATTGTAAACCACAGCCTTGATAAGGTTTGATTTTAACTAGTGATGCTAAAATTCAAAGTCTGTCAGTATTTCCATAATAAGCCCCTACTCTCAGGGGTTTCCAATCTGGCCATAAAATTTTCCTATTTTGGCATTAGTGTGGCTTATTTTGTTTCAGTCTAGGAATGGTGAGGCTTTGGGTATATGTTTTAATTCACATTTAAATTCTTAAGGAGATTTTTATAAGCAGAACATGACAAGGCAAATATTTTTCTTTAAGTTTTTTTTTCATTCATTTAAATTGAGAATGGCTTTATACTATTTTATGAATTTCTCCCTATACCTAATGAAGCCTTTTAAAATAAGAATATTTTTTAAAGATTCCACATACAAAATAAGTGGATTTTAAAATAGCATGTGGTTGCATACAATCATTTCTTCACAAAAAGATTAAATCATTGCCAAAACCAAGATTATAGAAACCAGCCTCTTCCAAGGTTTTACTCCTAATATGTATTCACAGAATATGTTGAAAAATAATGGCTCCTCTTCAGTTGTATGCTGTGAATGTAAATTAAGAAAAACATACAATGTGCTAAATCCTGCTTTCTTATAATGGCTACAAAAATAGAATACACCCAATTTCTGGCTGTAAATTCATTCTAAGATGAATGTAAATATTTCAAACACAATTTCCCCTTTGGCTGGCCATTAATCATTTGATGATATCTTGGATTCCTAAGCATGTCCTTGGGATTTTGTCCTCAATCATTTGTTACTCCTTTAAAAAAATTAATTTGAGATCATTTTAAACAGTGAAAATTCTTCCAAAGGTCTAAATATCAACTAGACATCCCAAAAAGGGCTAAGAGTTTCATTAATATGTAAGCAACAGCTTGGCACCTCAAGATGGAGCTGGAAATGAAGTAGTAGGAATAACTGTGATCATCATGGCTTTGGGGGATTTCATTAATATCAACTGAAGATAAAATTTTGCAAGCTATCTATAACTGTATTACAGTACTTTTCTATCTTACAGGCCACTGCAGTTTTCTGATTATGAATCAGTCAGAGGTTCATCTGCAGAGGAATGACTCAGTATAAACTTTAAAATAATGGCTTAAAAAAAACCTAAACTCAACCTGGGTAAGTACATTCATGAATTTAAATGCTTTGAATGGAGTATCTCTTTTTCTGGGCTGCATAATTTTATCCCTCTCAGTACACAGAACACCGATTTAAAGAGAGAGAGAAAAAAGAAAATCACATACAATAAGGCCCTGGAATCCACATTTTCTGGAAAGCTGAGGACAAAAAAAGATCCTTCTGTGTTGACCAGGTGCAACCGTCCACACTGAAACATTCTGCGGATTTTCCATGAGGGGAAAATCCAGATCACATTAGACTGCATTCTTTAGTGTAATTCTACTGCCTCTAAGTAGCTAAGAGAAAATTATTTAAGAGAAAAAGCCATAAATAGTGCCTTAACCCCAAGACATTTCCAAAGGAATACCATCTTTCCCTTACAAAGTTTTTCAAAGTTAGATTAAAGCGTTTTTAGTCTCCAGTAGGAAGAGAATAGCAGAGGAAGAGGTGGCTGATGCTTCTTTTAAAGCCCCATGACCCACTCATTCCCAGATACATTAGGAAATATTGAAATGGACAGAGGTTTCCATAAAATATAACACCAAACTAAGGCAAGAAAACACACACACACACACACACACACACACACACACAGAGAATTGCCTAGGGAGTCCTGGGCCAGGGTAATACTTACTGATCCATCCTTTCTTCAGCAGCAGCGAGAGTGCCGGCACCAGTGAAATGCCGATCAGTTTGGGGGCCCGTGGCTGTAATGTCGCCCCACTGAGAAGCCCGAGTTTTGCCAGGGCAGCAACAGGGCAGGCAGAACTGGGAAGAGGGTCTAAAGCCCAAGCCTCCAGAAGCAGGATCAGCAACCACAGCAGCAGCAGCAGGAGCAAGGCAAGAGATGAGGGTCTGAGAAGGATCAGGAGCAGCCACAATCTTGAAGCAAGAAGCTAAAGAGAGCAGCAAGGGCACAGCTTGGGGGGAGGGGGAGGGGAAGAAAAAGGGAGGGGGCGGGGGGAGAGGGAAGGAGAGGGAGGGAGTCTGAAAAAGCTGCAGAAGCAAGTGCCCCGGCCACACCAGGGAAAGGTGGCTGCCCCGCCTCCCCCCTCCCTCTACACGCCCACCCCCCTCCCTTCAGCGTAGCAAAGCAACGTGGAAGAGCACTCAAACCAACCCCCCTCCACTTTCTCGGGGGTCCCCCCTCCCCTTCGTCCTCCCCTCTCCCCCAATTTTCCCCCCTTACCCAAGACTGATAGATCTGCCACCGGCTAGGGCTCCTCAAAGCCACTGGTCGCTTAGGGAAGCCAAGTGGGTCCTGCTCCCCCTTCCGCGCCCTCCTCCTCCCCCTTCAGCCCCATTTCGCAGGCGGGTGGGCTGGGCTGCGTGTGAGGGGTGGGGGGGTGCGGTGGGGGAAGGACAAGAGGGAGGGGGAGAAGGAGCAGCGCCAAACTGAGGGGTGGGGGGAGAGAAGGAGGCGGCTGCTGTCCCGGTGGAGAGGAGGAAAAGGAGGGAGCAGGGGGAAGGGGCTGGGGGGAGGGGTGTGAGGTGGTGGGGAGAAGGGGGGGAAGAGCTGGGGCTATAGCCACCGCCGCCGCCGCCGCCGCTGGGGTTGGAAAGTCCCTTCTGTGCTGTAATCCCTCACACAAACACACACACATACATACATGCATACACACACACACTCACTCACTCACTCACTCACTCACTCACTCACTCACTCACACACACACACCGCACTTCCTCTCTCAGCGCTGGAAATCCCCTTGCTCCGGCCCTGCACTGGAGGCGTCGGCACCCGCGGCTGTCACAGCCCGAGCCAAGCCCCGCCCACTGCGCCGCGGCTCCGCCTACTCATCTGGCCCCGCCCACTGCACCTGATGCTCGCTGGCCCCTCCCCCGCAGCCACTGCTGTTGGCACGGGAGGGGTGAGTCGTCTGTCCCCCCGCAATACCTAAGCTCACACGCATCAATTTCTTTTCTTCTTTACACCCATTACCCTCCTCTCTCTTCACCCTGTGTACATGGGGAGGGGGGTGTCCAACACCTCATTTTCTCTTCACAGGCTCCCTCCGACAGATGTGTGTCTATAAGCGAGAAAGCTTGCCCCCCACCCCTAATCGATCCGCAACGCTTCGGGCGGGGGCTGGGGGATGTCATTTAACAACACACAGGCACTGCCTTTTTTCCTTCTCACAACCATTAACTCGGACACAGCTTCATGTAAATAAAGGAAAGAGGATAAAATGCATGCATATAAGTACATGCACCCACCCACTCACATATACACACCCCACTTTTTCTCCTCACACACCCCCCTTCCCCGCCAGCTAACACGGCATGTGTGTCCATGAGAAAATGATCTGTGTCCACAAGGGAGCTAATTTGGCGGCCCCTTTCAGACACACACACACACACACACATACACACACACACTTTTTCTTCTCATAAACCCCCTTCCTTGTTCACGGACACAGCCAGTGTATCTATGAGAAGCTAGCCTACATCCACGATGGGGTTAGTTTGCCCCCCGCCCCCACTGCTTCTTTTCGCAGAAGCCCCCTTCCCCTCTCTGAGGCCTGAGAACCACAAAACAAGTAATTCAGCTGCTCCCTCTCCGCACTTCATTCACACACACATATACACACACACACACATACACATAGCCGGTGTGTCTATGTGAGTGGGACCTGTGAACCATAAAGGGAGTAATGCGGCTGCCCCCTGGCCTCATTTCATTCACATTCACTCACATACACACACACACACACACAAACTTTTTCTCTACGTAAGCCCCCTTCCGCCCTCCTAGACCCGGCCTGTGTCTAGAAAGAGGGGCCCTGTGTCCACGAGAGGGGTAATTTGGCCGCCCCCCTTCACACACTCATATACACACACTCTCTTCTCTTCACGCACCCCCTTCCTCTCCTATAGGTCTGTGTGTGTCGGGGGGGCGGAGAATCTAGCTGCCCCCCTCACTCCCTCGCGCGCGCGCACACATTCTCACACACTCACACACACACACACACATTTTCTCTTCATGCACCCTTTTCCTCTCCCCTATGTCTATGAGAAGAAGGCCTATGCGTCGGGGGCTGGGAGGGGGGGCCCGCCCCCTTCCCTTACGCGCGCGCGCCGCGTCCCCGGGCCCGGGCCAGCCTCAGTTGCTAAGGCCTCCCGCCTGGCGCCAGCCCGGCCCTTAGCAACAGGCGGCGGGGCGGGAAGCGCTGGGCCCGCCGAGGGGGCGGCCCCCGTGGTCCCGGATTTAGACTCTCGGCCCGGGCGGCCTCGGCTGCCCCGGGGCCAGGCTAGGGGATGGTGGGGGCGGGAGGGGGGAAGAGGCGTTGCTGCCTTTCTGCGTGCCCCTTCTCCGCCGGTGCCGTGCCAGCCCCTGAATTAAACCTGCCGCCGGCGCGTCTCCCTCCTGGCCCGGGCTGCAGCCGTCCAGCCCCTCTCTCTGCTGCGGGATTTAAAAAGCCCCACGCCACCCCACCCCCAACCCGTGACCCCTCGCCTGTGTCTCTGGGTCCCACCGACCCACCATGTCTATCCCTCTCCAATCGAACCCCCCCTTTATAATCTCATTTTATGCAGCCGTTACAATCCAGCAAATATGCTTATCGGGGTGCCCACCCCGGGCTAAGGCTCTCTTCTCCTCCTTCCTTCCTGGGTCAAAAAGGCACGCACGCGGGCTCCAGAGCCTGAGATTTTTCCACAAAGTGGGAAGTGAATGACATCACTCGGCTCTAAAGTGAAAGGGGGAGGGGTGCCGGGATGGGGAGTGGGGGGTGCAGGTTGAACCTAACCAACCAGGCTGTCACTTCGCAGGAGCCTGCAGAGGCACAAAACCTCTGCTTGCCTGTGCAGTCAGGGGAAGGGGGGGAGAAGTCCCAGAAGCTGACTCATTAGAAATGGGTTACTGGCTGTTGTTGCTGATGACTATTTTCAGTCTCTAGTTTTGGTTTCCACCTCCACCCCCTGTGTAGTAAGCATGCAGGTGAGCCCCTCTTCCCTGGTTCATGGGGCACTCGGGGTGAAAAGGAGACTGCTTCTAGATGAGAGAACACAGGGTCCAGTAGAAGAAGGGAACAGGATGCTAGACTGCACCTAGACCTGGAGAGGCCTACACATCCATGCGGATCCTGTAGGGAAGCAGGGTGCACCAAGGAACTAAGCCAGACAAAGATGCAGAGGGAAAGTGAGCACACCTACTGACTACAGATGAGGAGGAAGAAGTGCAAGCAGGCCACTATGTATCTACAGCCCCTGTCCATCTAAAGATCCCAGGAGGAGAAAGAGGCAAAGGAGAGAAAAGAAACAGGGGAGGGAGTGAGGGGAAAGAGAAAGAACCTCAACAAAGAGTGACATGACTGGGAGCTGGCAGACAGAAACCAAGGCCACATACTCAAAATGAATACTGACCCTAGGAGGATAAAAGTTCTCATTACCTGGCCATAGTGGAAGAATTATCAGGAAGTGAAGCCATTTCTGGGGTTTAGTGGCTATGGTGAGAAATTTATGAAGAACACTGTCATCATGGCAAAGATTCTCAATGATTTCACACATAGATATGTATGACTGGAAAGAACCATAAACAGAAAGGCCAAAATAAACACTGAACTAGACCTTCTTGGCATCTTTTGGAGATCAGTTGGAAGAGAAATGTGAAAAGACCTTTAAGGACTTGGATAGCTGCCTTAAACATGCACCACTGTTGGTATTTGCTGATCCAAGCAAGCTCTTTGTGTTAAAGGGAACCATCTGAACTGAGAAATAACCTGGCCTTATCATTAGGCCTTATCACTGTGAGTCATGTGGACAGTATGGGTTCTAAGAAAGTGAGAGGAAAGGTAGACTCTAGAATTCCCAAGTTCTGCCCATAGGGAAGATAGGAGAGCTTTCTTGAATGCCTTTGGAAATAATTATGAACTCTGGTATATTTGTTGTACAAATACAACCGTCCTTATATTAAATGTCTTATTAGTCTGAGTGCCTTGCTGAAGTCTATTTTTCTGAGAGCAAAATAAACCAGATACTGTTATTAACAGATTTTCTCTGGTTGAGGACTTGACATGTTTTTTTTTTCAGCGAAATATCAGATACTATCACAAACCAGATATTAATATTCCCAGGATTTCCGTGGAGGGGGGTGGGTGTGGGGAGCGTGGGTGGGTGTGGGGGGCGTGGGTGGGTGTGGGGGGGTGTGGGTGTGTGTGATGAGTGGCCCCAAACTAGAGATATTTTTGTGAGAAATTTTATAATCATGTCAGGAGCAGAACATAACTGATATATGGGTTATATTTAAGTGGGTTTGTCCAGGATCAATGATGATGGGGAAGGACTAGTTGGCAGACTTCCTTCCATCACTCTTGTGAGCAACAACAAAGATATAAGCCTCCGGAAAATGGTACCATTGTGCATTATTATGTGTATATGGGGGTAAAGGACTACTGTGTCTGCTCATTTACTAGACGGCTCATTTACTAGAAGTGATAACGCTGGATCAGTTGTTAATTTGGGGAGTAATAATACTAATAGTTTACATTTATATAGCATTTTAAGGTTTGCAAAGCATTTTAGAAGTATAATCTTATTTTATCCTCAAAAAAACCCTGTGAGGTAGGTGCTGTTATTATCCCCATTTAACAGATGAGGAAACTGGGGCAGACAGAGATTAAGTGGTTTGTCCAGGGTCACACAGTTAGTAAATATATGAGGATTTGAATTTGGGTCTTTTTCTGACTCCAGGTCTAAGAGCTATCCATTGTGCCACAGTAGCTACCTAAGGTGGAATGGGACAAAAGCACCACAAAAGGTCCTTGCATACTACTTTGGACTCTTTAGGAGTTAAATACTGGGGAAGGTATTCCTGAGAAAGGACAATGTAGCTGCTGCTTAGGTTGAGCTTCCTAAAGCTATGGAGTCATCCCAGATTCATGAAGTAATTCAATTTAAAAAATATTTATTGAACTATCAACTAATCAAGTAAATCAATCAATAAAACAAATGTTTATTCTGTGCCTACTATGTGCCAGGCACTGCACCCTAAGGACACAAGTATACAAAGAAAGAACAATCCTTCCTCACAATGAATATACATTTCCAATTGGGAGATAAGTACATATAGAAATATGTATATGCTGTACAGCATAAACATTGAATTAATAAATATGAATATACACAAAGTATATTAAATACCAGGTAGTTGGAGAGGGAGAACACTAGTAATTGGGAGGATCCAAAAAATATTCCTACAGAAGACGGTGCATGACCTATCTTCTTAAAGGAAGATAGGTACTCAGTGAGGCAGAGGTAAGGAGATAATGCATTCCAGGCATGGGGGACTGCCAATGCTAAGACACAGAATTGGGAAATGGAGTTTTGTGTATGAAGAACA